CTAACTAATCTTGTAGAAGAAATTTCAAGATAGTTGAATGTTGAAGTGGTGGGATGGCTACTATTGGGGACTTTTAGCCAGATTTATGTTGAGAATCAACAGCAAAGAATCCAGCAGAATGATTTAAAATGTGAGTTTGGGAAAAATTGAAGCTCCAGTAAATCTGTGGGCTGCAAAGATAGAGCTGAGATCTTTATTGCAGAGAAGGAACAGGAGAATAGAAGAGATGGTCTGTGGGCATCACAAGAAGCAGCAGGACGCCACACTCTGCAGCCTCAAAATTGCAAAAGTGAAAGACTTTGCTTTGAGAAGAAAGCCCCAAAGCACCATGCCGCACTGTGTTCCAAAATGTTAGCAGTCTAGGAAACTTGTTCCTCAGAATCAGATTCAGAGTGCTTAGCAATCCTGGCACTCAACTCCTACAGCCAAGAGATAGGAAATTGTATCCCTGTCTACTGCTCCAGCTAGCAGCAGGCCTTGGCATCATCCAAATGGAGCTGGTTTTAAGCACATGCAAAACACAAGAGTTGTGGGTTCAGGAAGGCTTCTACCCAGATTTCAGAAGGCCTTGGGAGGTTGGCAGTGAGCCCCTAGGAGGGCAATGCATGAAGCTGTCTAAAACCAAGGTACAATAAAGACTCCAGAAGTTTGGAGAAGCTAGGAACATGACTCATGCAAGGAAAGCTGCAAGGAGGGAACAAAGTGAGCCCAAGAGAGAAATCATGGGTGCTGCAACCACTGGAAGTGCCACAGGGTTGGAGTCATGCAAGCACTTCGGAACTCACAACTTCCCACAGATTGCCTTGGACGCTACATATAGAACTATGGGATTAATGTTTGCCCTCCCAGATTTGGGATTTTGTTTGGTCCCATTCCTTTAGCTTTTGGAATAGAAATGTTTCTTGTACCATTGAGTGCAGAAAGTATTTAACTTTCTTTTCATTTCTACAGAGGTTCACACTTAATGAGTTTGCCTTACATCTCAGAGGAAACTTGGGTTTTAGATTTTTCAGCAATGCTGAATCTGTTAGGACCTTGGCAACTCTTGGGAATGGACTAAATGACTTTTGCATAAAGAAGTGTGTATGAGTCTTTGGAAGACCAAGGGCAGAATGTTATGGTGTCTAGATGTCCCCCAAAGCCTCATGCAGTCACGGAGGACACACTTTTTCAGAGGTAGCTGAATCTAGGTTTTGTGACCGACTCATTGTCCAATGCTGGGATTAGGGGTGTGAGTGCTACACTCACCCTTGGTTGGTAGCCTGCATACAATATAAGGGACACAAAGAGTCTTTGTTTCTCTTCTTTCTCGTTGCTTTGGTATTTTTCAATACCATGAACAGTTGCCCGTCTGCCATGCCACCCTGCCAGGTTATTATAGACTGAAACCTCTAGAACTGTGAACTAAATAAACCTTTCCTCTTTTTAGCTTTAGGTGTCAGTATCTTGTCTCAGCAATGAAAGAAAACTAAGACAGTGAGTTACTGGTTATTCACACTGGTCTAGCAGTGTGCAAAACAGACAGCAGAAATGCAAGGGCAGCCCAAAGAAGCTCTTGAGTGTGTATCTGTGCAAGTGCATATGTGTATGTGTGTATATGGATGTTTGTGTGCAGGGGTGCACATGTGTTGCGTGTGTGCATGCATGCATGTCTAGAGAGATTTCAGCTTAGAAAACTGCAGCGGAGAGTAAGTCAAACTCCCATCAGGTAGAAATAATTCCCATATTTCCTGCTCTTTCCCTTTCCTGCACTGCTAAGCACAGTGATTGTACCTTTACCCAAGAAATTGGCAGGACAAATCGGGGGACAGGTAGAGGAAAATGCAGGCTGTTCAGAGACATACTAGGTGGGGGTGAGGAGCTGGCTGCCAAAGGCACTGACCCAGCCAATATCAGCTGGTTCCTCCTCCACATGTGCTGAGCACCAGGGGTGTTGCAGATCCTGAGTAAATGTAGATGTCCAGTTAAGTAAGGACAGGAAAAAACTATCAGGAGGGCCACGGGTGAGGGCTTGATGGTCTCACAAAGCAGGACGTGACATGGGCAGGATACTTACAGCAGCTTAATTTTTCCTAAGGCTTTGAAGCAAAGCAGACTTCTTAGGAAAGAAGGGTCCTATCAGAGGGGCTCTGGCCTTTACTCAAAACAGATGGCAGTTTAATCCTCATAAAGTTCAAGCATAAAAGCTCTCACTTAACCTCTCTCCGCCAAGGGAAATGCTGGTGATAAAATAACACATTCACTGGGGTTCTTGATAACACACTGACTTGTCTTAGTGCAGAAGACCATATAGAGGCCCCTTCCTGAACTTTAACATGGATCTGAACCATGTTGGGGTCCAGGTAAAAATGCAGTCAGAGACGGGTGTGGTGGCACAAACCTGTAAATCCAATACTGTGGGAGGCTGAGGCAGGAGGTTTGAAATTTTGAAGCCAGCCTGGGAAACATAGTGGCTTAGCAAGCACCAAAGATAAAGTGGGCTGAACACGTAGCCCATTGAGAAGACTGAAGGCTTCAATCGCTAGTAGGAAAAAAAATTCAGGAAATTAATAAATTACTTTCTCTTAATTACAAAATGAGAACATTTACTTAATAATTTCTCACGAACAGCTATTAAATATTCCCCTGTATTCAAAGTTGAAAAGCCACTGGCTGGAAGGACAATTAGAACAGGACACCTGCCAAGTGGTCCTCCCTCCTTATGTGGCCAGGCCTCAATGTAACAAACTGACGGCCAGGCACTGAACCTCAGGGGGAAACCTAACTAAGTTTAGATGGCACTGGACGTTTGCTTTTGCAGTTTTTCGTAAGCAATGTAAATTTTGTTGTTGTTATTGTTGTTGTTACGGGTAATCAAACTCACAACCTCACACTTACCAGGCAGATGCTGTACTGCTGAACTATGCCCCTGGCCCAGCAACATAAAACATTAAAAATTAATATATAAATTAGTATACAGATTTTGTGGGCTGGGACAAAATCACTTGGCTGTTTGGACTATGTAACCTCCAAACATGACTGCACAGTGGTACTCATGAGGATTTCTGTTACTGCCTGACAACGGCAGTTTAATTTTTCTGGCCGGCTAGCAGTGTAGCTGAGTGGAAGAGGACGTATATGTGTGAGGTCTTAGATTCAGTCATGGCATGTAAAAATAAATAATATACAAATTTGTGGCCTCCTTTGGCCCTGAGGTGATCTCCAGGGCACTCACAACGAGCTGTATCTCCAAACCTATGTTTAAATTTTGAGTCATGGTTTGCTAAGTGGCCCATTTGCCTAAGGTGGTCTCAGATTTGTGATCCTTGTGTCTGAGCCTCCCACAGTGCTAGGCATGTGTGCCTGCCACACCTTGTGAGGCTTCAGGCTCTAACTCCTCTCCACTGCTACTCACACACTCTTCTAATGAGACTTGTATGGAAGTGTTCAAGAGGCCTCTCTTTGATCAAAGCCCAGATACACAAAGAAGGAATTCAGGGAGCACAGACAGACAGGGTTTCATGTTTTCCATGTTCACATGCGAAGGTAAGTTTTTCCCACCTCAGTTTTTCCTGTACCTTTCTAAATAGCAGTCCCTCTTCCCTCTTGTGAGACTTGATATAATCAATGTTATGTAACTAGGATAAACTCAAAGTTCCCATTAACTCATTCATTCTAATTATACATAATTAATGATGTTCGCTATTAGCAGGATTAATGATTCAGAGTCACACTTTGAGTTGTGGGTCCTTTTTTTCTTTCTTGGTGCTGGAATGAAGGATGGACAGTCAGGGCCCTGCCCGTTTGTCAAGCACATTACCACTGAGCATCCTAGTCGCACTGTTTTTTGTTTTTTAAGGCAAATGTTTTACTTCCTCTGAGCAAGATACGTGCATCATGCCTCACAACATGTGGCCAATGCGTAAACCTTGAAGGAGTTGAGAACACTCCTTTAGTGAGAAAAGGTCTCACTGGGTGGCCAGGCAGGCTGGGCTTGAACTCATAGCGCAGCCCAGGCAGGCCTCCAATTTTTCTCCCACTGAAGTCTCCAGAGTGCGGGGAAGACAGGCGTGCGTTAGCACATCCAGGCTCCCTTACTGTTCTTAAAAACAGGAGAGAAAATTCCAAGAGAGCTGCCCTCGCTATACAAGGAGAAAAGAGCATTGGGGGGGGGGGGGCAGGGGCACGTGCTTCTGCCTCTGAGCTAAATCCCTGGCCCAAAAGCAACATTTTTATAGAGGACAGCAAGTTAGGCCTAACGAGAGTTCTGTACTAACAGAACTTACTGAAATAATTCTTAATCTTCCTTCTGCCTCCTCATAGTCCTTATCTTTTCCTATAGGCCTCTCTTTGACTGAGCTAAGTATAAAAGCATTTGGCTTTTACTGCTCTGCAAAACTTACAAGGTAATTGTGTGCACATACTTTCTCCTGTTAATCTCTTCTATGTAGATTTACTTTCAGGCCTGGATTCCATCCCCAGTATCTTCCTATTTGAAAAACAGAAGTGTTAAATTTTCACACTGGGCTTGGTGTCACAGCCAGCCTATGCTAGTCAGCAAGATCTTGTCTCAGGAGAAAACAAATTTTTTTTTTTTTAGTTGGAAATAGATCCTAAAACCCCACTCGTCAACTAACCTGGAATCTCACCAGTTATCTAAAATAATCGTGTTTTCCTTTGACTCCCAAGCTGCTAACTTTCAAGCTGGCATTAATAAAGTAATCTCAAGGACTTCTTTGGACTACAAGTGAGAAACATATAGCATCACAAGTAAAACAAAATGAAGGAAAAAACTGGAAACAATCTTGTGCAAATGTGAAGGGAAACAAGGGTGAGAGGGGAGGGATGGGAAAATATTTAAGATATATTATGTGCAGGTACAGATTCCCAAAGATGAGTGCGATCTTTATGTATGATAAATATGTAATAGAAAGAATAAAAATTTTTCAAAAATAAATCCATATACAAGTAACAATGTACTCCCCTTTTCTAAACCTTTTTTGTTTTGTTTTTTTGATAAGGCAGGTGCTATACCACTCGGCCGCAGCAGAGTTGCTGAGCACAGTGATGCACGCCTGTGAATACCAGCACTAGGGAGGCTGAGGCCAAAGGATTGCCACAGGTTCAAGGCCAGCCTGCTTTGTGATTTCAAGACCAGCCTGAACTACATAGCAAGATCCTGTCTCCAAGAAAACAAAAACAACAACAACAAAAACCCACAAAGCTGGCCAACTATGACTCTAGGATAAATAAGACTGTCTCATTTGAGAACCTGTAGAAGCCAGGTGTGTTTCAGGTACATGTGATTACCCATGGCAACTGAGTCACATAAAAGTTTGCGGTGTCAGGAATTTAGATTCCATACTTACCCATTTTGGGAGGAACTTTCCCCAGGTTTTGTAGTTCACTGACCATCTTTCCTGGCACTTCTTAGTGGTATACAGAATCGTCTCAAGTTCGAGGCTGTTTACATAGTGAATTCAAGGCCAGCCTAAACTGCATAGTAACATCGTTACAAAAGAGAGAGATTATCTTCAAATGAACTTGTCTTTTTTTTTTTTAATTGGTACCAGTGATCAAACTCATGACCATGTGCTTATAAGGCAGGTGCTTATGCTGCTGAACTAAATCCCCAGCCCATCTTCTTCAAATGAACTTAATCTAGAACCCAAACCCAGCTCTACTTGTAGGATAGGCATGACCAGTTCAGCTTATGTATCAGGCAAGAACCTGGGTTCAATTCCTGCCAAGCATGGCAAAATCAATTATGATCTCCCAAATATATTCCCAGCAGATTTAAAGCCCCTTCACTAGTTTTTCACTGACTTAACGTGGATGCATAAACTAGCACTACACTGATTGGCAAGGTCTTCCCATCATGTTAAAGAACCAATCCCTCCTTGTAAACTCTTTCAATTAACTTTATTGAATAGCCAAAGTGATAAGTTAGCACGGATCAAACAACTGTTTGCATGGGTTAAAAATGACTTTTTTTTACAGGAATAAACAGCGAAAATTACAAACCGTAAAAAGGAAGAAAAGTCTTGTCTCATTTCAGAGAACAAGATTGAACACAGCACACTGGAGATCAATACATATTTGAATTTGAGAACAAGAATTTAATGTTACAATATTATACACTACTTTACAAAATTAAATTTTCTATGTAAGGATTATATTTGTAATAGTTAATAAAATCTTGAAATCACATTTGGTGGTCCCCTAGACAATAACTGTTATGCATCTTTCATTAGAAGAAATAAATCTTTTACTCTAATTATTGCAAAACAGTCTACGAGACTCAATACATATATTAAATTAAGAACAATGAGAAAATATATGCAAACTAAAATAAATGGTACTGGTTGGGTGAATATTAGTATGTCAAACTTACAGAAATGTATTTTAAAAATTCTATAAATTAGAAAAATAGAGTACTTTTTACGGTAGAATTGCCATGCTCAGATTTATATATCAAGATTGCCCTTGTCCGTTACTTTAGTAGTTGTAGATCTGTAGAAAATTCAAAGATCTTTCATAGTTTACAACTACAATAAAAAAAAATATGGCATAGTGTAAATATTAGTTGCTTTACATCAAAAAGTAACACAGGTGATGATAGGAGGCGTCCTACTACCAAAAAAAAAAAAAAATCAAACTAAAAAACACATTCAATATTGCAAAAAATAATTGTTTTATATCAACATTCCCAAAAGATTCATTTTTTAAATTTCAAGAGCAAGTATTGTGAATTCTAACTAAAGTTATGAATTTTATGACCTGTTATAAAATTATTCTGGATTGCACATTATATAATATCTAAAATAATTTTTAAAGTAAATATGTCAAATATACTAACAAAGCACATGGTAATAATAAGAATCATACCCACTTAGGGATATAGTGAGGCACAAGGAAAATTATCCCTAAAAGCACAATTTTTTTCCTCTAGAAAAGTCCTTACTATTAAGAAAGGACTTACAAATATCAACATTTAAAATTGCATTTAGAAGAAAATTTTAGATAAAGAAACATCAGTACATAATGCCTTTGTTTCTTAAAAAGAGGGGAAAATATAATTTGGTAGAATCTGAATTGCTTCCTAATAAATGAAGCCACTCTCAAGGAAACTTCCAGCTCAATGTACCACTTGCGCACTGAAAGCAAATCTTAACACTGCTTAAGGGAGACACTGTTTTCATAAAACCCAGTCATTCTGATCCAGGTGGCAAGCGGTAGCTGTGTACGCCATAGGGACCTCTCCCCTCCCCAAACAACTCAGTTAAAGTCAGCCCATGTGGATGTAAACCTGAAAGTGACTGTTTCATTGGTGATCGCAGAAGACCAAGATTGTAAACAGTTTCCAGCCTATAAAAAAATCATTTCATCAAGTATTACACATGAACATCTGAAGAAGTTCATACAAGATGAATCTAAAAACTGAGCCAAACTCGTTTAAAGATATTATATCACAGCACTTTAAATATACAGATGTATAATTTACCTATTTGTAAACAAAGCTCGTTTAACAGTTTTGACTACATTTCTCTAGCTGAATCAAAAAAGCAGTCTTATGAGCACGTTCAGGAATCAAGTTTCTTTCCTAACTTCAATAAATTGGGTTTGTGTAATCTCAATATCCACCAAGTCAAACAGCAGCATTCCTGTTTTCATAGGTTTAATATCCCAGAATAAATATTTGAGTGGCTTCCAGTTTAATGAACTCCTTAGAAAAATATTACTAATGCATTTGAGACATTTCATTCATCCACATTTCACGAAAATAATACTTTCATTACATATCACAGAGCAGAAATGTACCAACAAAAAAATCATAGGATCAAGGGGGCTTGTCTTCTCCCTATTATCATTGCCAGTCCCAATATATTTATGAAAACAGCTCAAATTCTTTTCAGTAAAACACAGTATGCTCAAGTCTTCTGCAGATCAGAAAACCACCGAATTACAGCTTTCCCTTCAAATCATAGTGACTTTGTTCTTCAAGTGTAGAGAATACTGACAGAATGTAAAGCTTTAACACATGACTTCATATTCTTCTCAAGCTGACCTAGAGTTAATTTACTTTTGGCCAACACCCATCTCCTTCCTTAAAAAAGGAAAAAAAACAAAACAAAACAAAAAAAATCACTAGAAATGGGGAATTCTAGTTTTTCTACATTTTATTTACTTTTAAATTTTGTTTTTTAAATTTTATGATTTTAAAAGGTCATCAATGGATCTGTAATTTCCCTGCAATACTTAAGTCTTACGAGGTTTTAAATGTAGCAGCCAAACATTCAGAAAAATAAAAAAATGAGAAATATACATGTGGAACACAGAAGTTTTTATTTTACAAAATGTACTTTGCCTCTGCAATATTGTCTTATTTTCATCCTTAACAAATCAAACATAATTGGCAGCGAGGGAAAAAAGGCGTCCAATCATATGTAGATATATTCTGATTTGAAAAATAGTGTTTCGCAGTTGCATGTTTGATTCTCGGCTGTAGTCTTTTAATTGCTCTAATTTGATGAAATCACAGTGAAAACATCTTAATCATCACATTAGTTCACAAACTTAAATAGAAAAGGAAGGTATCACACATTCCCAGGAATCCTGCATTTTTGTGATCTCCTTAGCAACAACTGAGTCAGTTCTTCATTTATTCACTTGCTGTTGTATATGCAAGAGGAATTCATAGTATGATAGTGCAGATTCGGTTCTGTCTTCTACCATGTGCTGAAGGAAGTTTGCCTTCATTGGACTCTCATCCCTCAGGAATAAAAAACAAAAAACACTTTATTATGTTAGATAAAACACAAGAGTAAAATAAACTGGATTCGTCACAGGTTTTGATAACTACCATAGTATTTACCCTACAAATACCTATTTTTAGAGGTTTTCTCTAAGATTATTTCATTAGTTACATAAACTTCATGTTTAAGGGGAAAAGTTTAAGTGGAATTAGAAGAAACGAAACTGTGAAGTGCTTCGCTAAAAAGTTAATTGGGCCAAGGATTTAGCTCAGCTGCATAAGTGGCTGCCTTGCAAGTGTGCGTGCGAGGTTGTGAGCTCGATCCCCAGGACAAAAAAAAAAAAAAAAAAGTTCATTAGGTTTAGTAAATTCAATAATTGTTTATAAAACACAATTTAAGGGGCTGGGGATGTAGCTCAGCGGCATAAGCACCTGCCTTGCAAGCAGGCAGTCGTGAGTTCGATCCCTGATACCAATAAAAATGAAAACGCCAAAAAAAAAAAAAAAAAAAAAAAACCCACAATTTAGTATGGGGGAGGGGCAGTACTAGGGACTGATCCCATGACCTTTGCATTGAGCCAGCTCCTCAGTCCCTTTTTATCTTTTATTTTGAGAGAGGATTTTGGTAAGCTGCTGAGTAACCAAGGCTGAGATCATATTTGTGCTCTTCTGGCCTCTGCTTCCCAGGGTGCTGGGAATACAGGCATGTGCCACTGCTTGACTCAATTTGGTACTATTTACTGAAAAGAATTATTAGATGAGGATGAGGCTGATGACAATGCTGTAGTACTGGGGATCGAACTCATGCTAAAGAAAGCCCTATCACTCAACTGCAATCCCTTCCCTTTATACTCTTATAAAATGTTTGCATAGGTCACATGTATCTGTGATTCAAAAATAAGTGCCTGCAAGATCAAACAAACTATAGCACAAATAAAAACTTCAACTTACCGTAGTATATAAAGGACCGGAAAAAATGGTCTCTGCTCTCTAAGCCAAGAGATGAAAGCTAGTGTCCTGGCAGACTCTGGTGTATCAAGTTCTGGAAGGTCTGTCTGTTAAGCAAAACCAAGAGTATCCAATTTAATTATGTATTTAATGGATAGTCTACATTATTTCTCCAATTTTAACATCTTACACGAATCACCTGGTGATTCTGTTGAACTAGAGAGTAAATTCGTTTGGCTTAGAGGTCATTAGGTTTCTGCTCAAACTATTCCAATCCACTAACGTTATATAAAGCACCCATGCATGGACAATACATAAAATTATCTAAAATGCCTATTCATCCAGTATACTGGTTTTGGTCAAGGCCTGAGAGCTAGTGCTTATGCTAGCTAGAATGGTAACCTTTTTCAATACATGACATTCCATGATTTCCACGAATGCAGTCATAGAACCCATCACTATGTAAAAGTGACAAAATAAAACACTTATTCCAGGGCAGTGGTGGTGTGCTTGCCTAGGAGGTGCAAGGTCCTGAGTTTAATTCCCGGTTCCACAAACACACACACAGACACTCCAAAATTGGATACAAACTGGAAGTAGAGATTGAAAAATAACACTAAATAAAACAATCATTAACTTTAAAGTTCAAAACTACCCAACTACTATATTGTAAGTGAGTTCTTATGGAATATATCAGTTATTCTTCCGGAAGCAAGAGCAGTCTTATTTTACAAATGAGTCTATTAGTGACCTGTCCAAAGTTACACAGCTAGTTACTTCTTGTATAATCAACATTAAAAGACAATGACTGTCATTTGCTAGGTAAACCAGTGTGACAATTAGTTTAGTTTTTATCCCAAAGCAATGGTTAAGGACTCTACCAAAGAACACACAATCCCTTGCAATACACATGCACACACACTAATATTATCTGTAGTAAACTTTTAGGGGGTATTCATTAAATTCACTGTTTTCTCCACATAATAGAGTATTGTCTTCTTTGTGTGTATGTGTGGTACTAGGGACTGAATCCCAAGTCAGTCAACCACTGAACTGTATCTCCCTGCCCCCTTTTGTTGCTGAGATTTGAACTCAGGGCTAAACTCTACCCATACCTCTAGTACTCCTGTATTTAATTTTTAATTTTTAAAAAATTTTCTGACTTCAAATCTGTAATTCTCCTGCCTCAGCCTTCAGTGTAACTGGGATTACAGTCATGCACTTCCCACTCTATGCACATATGAACAGGGAATTCAACCATGTACACTACCATAAAAAGCACCATTAAAATACAAAACACAGTAAGATGACATGGAATAGATGCTTGGAGTCTCAGCTCCACGAGAGGCTGCTGCAGGATGACTGCACTGAGCCCACGAGCTTGAGGCCTGCCTGGCCACCCCAGGGAGACCCAACCTCAAACACAAACACTTACAAATTAAAAACATAAGAAGAGGACATTTAGTGAGAAAAGAAATGTAACCCATGGGAACATTCTTTTCTTTTAGAAAATTCTGCAGTATTAATTTATGATTTCAAATTGGGACACTCATGTTTTTGCAATGTTTGATAAGTGTTTTAAGTCTTGTATAATCAATAAAAGAATCTTACCATGATTGGTGGAATTGATGCATAGTTTTGAACTCCTAGAACTTGGCTGAGAAAATTTTGTGCACAATTTTTTCCAACCCAAAGCATCAGTATCTGCAAATAAAAATAGATTATTTAAGAAGCAGCTAAGAGTCTGCGAACTCACCATGGCCACTGAGTATTTTTTTCCATTTTTTTGGTCTGTTTTATCTTTTTGAGACAGGGTCTCACTATGCAGTTCAAACTGGCCTTGAACTCACTTTGTACCCCAGGCTGGCTTCGAACTTGCAGTAATCCTCCTGCCTTACCTCTCCAGTGCTGAGACATTACAGGCATGCACTACCATGCCCAGCTGTCCTTAGGTA